GATCGGAAAGGTGAGTTTTTCCAAACATTTTCAGGGTCAGTTCCAAGAAGTAAATTTGACAATTGCTTCTTGGAACTAACGGTTCTATCTTCCGTGTCCTGCCGGTTTATTAGTGTCCTGTTTATGGTGGGGACCGATGTGATAAAGAAACTTATCGAGCTTTGGAATGAAGAGTCAAATATGTCTACAATACTGAAATGTTAGTTTGAAATATGACATACGGTCGCGGGAGGTCCCTGCCGTAGAGAAAGTTACAAGATGGGAGTTTATTGTCTCTGGCTCGATGAATTTGTTTGTCGCATCACATTTTGACCCTCATTGTGTTCAACAATAAGACCGAACACAGGGTATTTGGTTTTATTTTGCATTCTGCATCGTTAAAATTAATAATAATGCGATAAAAATTAATAATAACAGAGTTCAATCGAATTGCAAATTTTAAATTGTTCCGATGTTACAATGGACCATTCAAAGAATGTACCAATATTCAAATCGACGATACTCAGAGAGCATGAAACAAATTCTTTCAGACAGTATCCGTTGAAACGATTTTAATCATATCAAACCAACAAATTTTCTCCGATTACGTATCTAATCTCACGGTAGAGCGAAACACTTCTCGCGTGGAACGCGTCGACTTTTCCGCTTTAACTTGAAAAGAATCGCGTTCCCTTCGTCGTACTTCGCTGATTCAACCCCTCGTTGGTGAATCGCGTCGATGCAAAGGGGGTAAACGAGGATTAAAAAGAAGCGTGAAGAACTCTCGAGCACCGGGGCTTCCCCCCCTCCGGGCTGAGGCGCAGTGGACCGTTTCGCGAGAGCGGAGCGGCGCGACGAAACGGTTAATTCGATTCGACGATCGTTCGCCGCGATAGCGAGCTCCGAGCCGACAACTATCAAGCGGCGCGTTAATTGCGTTCAAACGAACTGTCAGCGCGTCGACACGCACGCGCGCGCATCTGAGCCGCGTCCCGCGTGCAAATACGCGCATTATGATTAATACCGTCACACGCGGCTCGAGGCGTCGTCGGCTTGTCAGCGGTCCGCAATCAGGGGATACGCTAATTACGCTATTTCTCTCTCTCTCTCTCTCTCTCTATCTCTCTATCTCACTGTACCGTACGTCTATTTCCTCCTGAAATCCTCTTTTCGTTTCGGCTACGTAACCTTTCGATTCCATCGAATGCCACGGCGAAAATGAATAATAACGGGTTAGCTGTCGATCGCTCCGAGCGATTTATTAGTCACGGCGTTCCTTTTGTCTTTCATCTTCATCGGTATCAACGCGATCGTTGAAACCGGGATCATCTTCGTGTACGCGGACTTCGTGTTCCACGGCTCGTCTCCGCAGGCAGTCCAATAATAGCAGCCACGTGATTTAGAGATCCAGTTTAGGCGTGGGCGGGGATCCGACAAATCGAAATCGGTTGCTCGTTCGCGTGTTGGAGGAATGTCGGATCGAGTCAGTCTCTCTCTCTCTCTCTCTCTCTCTCTCTCTCTCTCTCTCTCTCTCTCTTCTACGCTCGCGTGATATTCCCGCAAGGCGGAGGAGGACGATCGTCCGAACTCCAGGCGGATAATCGTCCGTGAAACGCGACAGCCGGCTCGACAAACGCGTCCACTCGTTCCACGAATTCGGCCCGCTCGTGCCAAACGTCCTGACCCCGAAAACGGACCCTTCTAACTACCCTGTTGCGAAACGATCCCGGCGGTCGTCCCGTGTCCGACCACCGAATAAATTGGTCCTCCTAGCCGCTCGCCCATCGATCCGGATGAATCATCTCGGACGTGTGTCTCTTCTTCACCGTAAAGTCTCGTAAAGCCCGCGCGAGTCTCGCGACAGGGTGCCATCGGGAGAAAGAGTCGTCACCTAGCGAAACGATTGCCTCTGGGACGTTCGTTTTATTAACTCGACAACGAATTACTCATGGCTGGCGCGGCGCTGGTCCACCCCAGCGCAATTTCATCAGGAACCGTGATAATTATCGTTCAGACGATAATTAGCGTCGCGT